TATTCTATTGTTCCAGTCGAGTTATTCTTTTGTTCCAGTCGAGAGTTATTCTTTTGTTCCAGTCGAGAGTTATTCTTTTGTTCCGAGAGTTATTCTTTTGTTCCATTCGACAGTTATTCTATTGTTCCAGTCGAGTTATTCTTTTGTTCCAGTCGAGAGTTATTCTTTTGTTCCAGTCGAGAGTTATTCTTTTGTTCCAGTCGAGAGTTATTCTTTTGTTCCAGTCGAGAGTTATTATTTTGTTCCAGTCGAGAGTTATTCTTTTGTTCCAGTCGAGTTATTCTTTTGTTCCAGTCGAGAGTTATTCTTTTGTTCCAGTCGAGAGTTATTCTTTTGTTCCAGTCGAGAGTTATTCTTTTGTTCCAGTCGAGAGTTATTCTTTTGTCGAGAGTTATTCCCAGTCGAGAGTTATTCTTTTGTTCCAGTCGAGAGTTATTCTTTTGTTCCAGTCGAGAGTTATTCTTTTGTTACAGTCGAGAGTTATTCATGTTCCAGTCGAGTTATTCTTTTGTTCCAGTCGAGTTATTCTTTTGTTCCAGTCGAGAGTTATTCTTTTGTTCCAGTCGAGTTATTCTTTTGTTCCAGTCGAGAGTTATTCTTTTGTTCCAGTCGAGTTATTCTTTTGTTCCAGTCGAGTTATTCTTTTGTTCCAGTCGAGTTATTCTTTTGTTCCAGTCGAGTTATTCTTTTGTTCCAGTCGAGTTATTCTTTTGTTCCAGTCGAGAGTTATTCTTTTGTTCCAGTCGAGTTATTCTTTTGTTCCAGTCGAGAGTTATTCTTTTGTTCCAGTCGAGTTATTCTTTTGTTCCAGTCGAGATTTATTCTTTTGTTCCAGTCGACAGTTATTCTTTTGTTCCAGTCGAGAGTTATTCTTTTGTCCCAGTCGAGAGTTATTCTTTTGTTCCAGTCGAGAGTTATTCTTTTGTTCCAGTCGAGTTATTCTTTTGTTCCAGTCGAGAGTTATTCTTTTGTTCCAGTCGAGTTATTCTTTTGTTCCAGTCGAGAGTTATTCTTTTGTTCCAGTCGAGAGTTATTCTTTTGTTCCAGTCGAGAGTTATTCTTTTGTTCCAGTCGAGAGTTATTCTTTTGTTCCATTCGACAGTTATTCTATTGTTCCAGTCGAGTTATTCTTTTGTTCCAGTCAAGAGTTATTCTTTTGTTCCAGTCGAGAGTTATTCTTTTGTTCCAGTCGAGAGTTATCGAGTTATTCTTTTGTTCCAGTCTTTTGTTCCAGTCGAGAGTTATTCTTTTGTTCCAGTCGAGAGTTATTCTTTTGTTCCAGTCGACAGTTATTCTTTTGTTCCAGTCGAGAGTTATTCTTTTGTTCCAGTCGAGAGTTATTCTTTTGTTCCAGTCGAGAGTTATTCTTTTGTTCCAGTCGAGAGTTATTCTTTTGTTCCAGTCGAGAGTTATTCTTTTGTTCCAGTCGAGAGTTATTCTTTTGTTCCAGTCGAGAGTTATTCTTTTGTTCCAGTCGAGAGTTATTCTTTTGTTCCAGTCGAGAGAGTTATTCTTTTGTTCCAGTCTTTTGTTATTCCAGTCGAGTTCGATTATTCTTTTGTTCAGTCGTTCCAGTCGAGAGTTATTCTTTTGTTCCAGTCGAGTTATTCTTTTGTTCCAGTCGAGAGTTATTCTTTTGTTCCAGTCGAGTTATTCTTTTGTTCCAGTCGAGAGTTATTATTTTGTTCCAGTCGAGAGTTATTCTTTTGTTCCAGTCGACAGTTATTCTTTTGTTCCTGTCGAGAGTTATTCTTTTGTTCCAGTCGAGTTATTCTTTTGTTCCAGTCGAGAGTTATTCATGTTCCAGTCGAGAGTTATTCATGTTCCAGTCGAGAGTTATTCTTTTGTTGCAGTCGACAGTTATTCTTTTGTTCCAGTCGAGAGTTATTCTTTTGTTCCAGTCGAGAGTTATTCTTTTGTTCCAGTCGAGAGTTATTCTTTTGTTCCAGTCGAGAGTTATTCTTTTGTTCCAGTCGAGAGTTATTCATGTTCCAGTCGACAGTTATTCATGTTCCAGTCGAGTTATTCTTTTGTTCCAGTCGAGAGTTATTCTTTTGTTCCAGCTGAGAGTTATTCATGTTCCAGTCGACAGTTATTCATGTTCCAGTCGAGAGTTATTCTTTTGTTCCAGTCGAGAGATATTCTTTTGTTCCAGTCGACAGTTATTCTTGTTCCAGTCGACAGTTATTCTTGTTCCAGTCGACAGTTATTCTTTTGTTCCAGTCGACAGTTATTCTTTTGTTCCAGTTGACAGTTATTCTTGTTCCAGTCGACAGTTATTCATGTTCCAGTCGACAGTTATTCTTGTTCCAGTCGACAGTTATTCTTGTTCCAGTCGACAGTTATTCTTTTGTTCCAGTCGACAGTTATTCTTGTTCCAGTCGACAGTTATTCTTTTGTTCCAGTCGACAGTTATTCTTTTGTTCCAGTCGACAGTTATTCATGTTCCAGTCGACAGTTATTCATGTTCCCGTCGACAGTTATTCTTTTGTTCCAGTCGACAGTTATTCTTTTGTTCCAGTCGACAGTTATTCTTGTTCCAGTCGACAGTTATTCTTGTTCCAGTCGACAGTTATTCTTTTGTTCCAGTCGACAGTTACTCTTTTGTTCCAGTCGAGAGTTATTCTTTTGTTCCAGTCGAGTTATTCTTTTGTTCCAGTCGAGAGTTATTCTTTTGTTCCAGTCGACAGTTATTCATGTTCCAGTCGACAGTTATTCATGTTCCAGTCGACAGTTATTCTTTTGTTCCAGTCGACAGTTATTCTTGTTCCAGTCGACAGTTATTCTTTTGTTCCAGTCGATAGTTATTCTTTTGTTCCAGTCGACAGTTATTCTTTTGTTCCAGTCGACAGTTATTCTTTTGTTCAAGTCGACAGTTATTCTTGTTCCAGTCGACAGTTATTCTTTTGTTCCAGTCGACAGTTATTCTTTTGTTCCAGTCGACAGTTATTCTTTTGTTCCAGTCGACAGTTATTCTTGTTCCAGTCGACAGTTATTTATGTTCCAGTCGACAGTTATTCTTGTTCCAGTCGACAGTTATTCTTGTTCCAGTCGACAGTTATTCTTTTGTTCCAGTCGACAGTTATTCTTGTTCCAGTCGACAGTTATTCTTTTGTTCCAGTCGACAGTTATTCTTTTGTTCCAGTCGACAGTTATTCTTGTTCCAGTCGACAGTTATTCATGTTCCAGTCGACAGTTATTCTTTTGTTCCAGTCGACAGTTATTCTTGTTCCATTCGACAGTTATTCTTTTGTTCCAGTCGACAGTTATTCTTGTTCCAGTCGACAGTTATTCTTGTTCCAGTCGACAGTTATTCTTTTGTTCCAGTCGACAGTTATTCTTGTTCCAGTCGACAGTTATTCTTGTTCCAGTCGAGTTATTCTTTTGTTCCAGTCGACAGTTATTCTTCTGTTCCAGTCGACAGTTATTCTTGTTCCAGTCGACAGTTATTCTTGTTCCAGGCGACCGTTATTCTTGTTCCAGACAACAGTTATTCTTCTGTTCCAGTCGACAGTTATTCTTGTTCCAGTCGACAGTTATTCTTCTGTTCCAGTCGACAGTTATTCTTGTTCCAGTCGACAGTTATTCTTCTGTTCCAGTCGACAGTTATTCTTGTTCCAGTCAACAGTTATTCTTCTGTTCCAGTCGACAGTTATTCTTCTGTTCCAGTCGACAGTTATTCTTCTGTTCCAGTCGACAGTTATTCTTGTTCCAGTTGACAGTTATTCTTCTGTTCCAGTCGACAGTTATTCTTGTTCCAGTTGACAGTTATTCTTCTGTTCCAGTCGACAGTTATTCTTCTGTTCCAGTCGACAGTTATTCTTGTTCTAGTCGACAGTTATTCTTGTTCCAGTCGACAGTTATTCTTCTATTCCAGTCGACAGTTATTCTTCTGTTCCAGTCGACAGTTATTCTTGTTCCAGTCGACAGTTATTCTTGTTCCAGTCGACAGTTATTCTTGTTCCAGTCGACAGTTATTCATGTTCCAGTCGACAGTTATTCTTCTGTTCCAGTCGACAGTTATTCTTGTTCCAGTTGACAGTTATTCTTGTTCCAGTCGACAGTTATTCTTCTGTTCCAGTCGACAGTTATTCTTCTGTTCCAGTCGACATTTATTCTTGTTCCAGTCGACAGTTATTCTTGTTCCAGTCGACAGTTATTCTTGTTCCAGTTGACAGTTATTCTTGTTCCAGTCGACAGTTATTCATGTTCCAGTCGACAGTTATTCTTCTGTTCCAGTCGATAGTTATTCTTGTTCCAGTTGACAGTTATTCTTGTTCCAGTTGACAGTTATTCTTGTTCTAGTCGACAGTTATTCTTGTTCCAGTCGACAGTTATTGTTGTTCCAGTCGACAGTTATTCTTGTTCCAGTCGACAGTTATTCTTGTTCCAGTCGACAGTTATTCTTGTTCCAGTCGACAGTTATTCTTGTTCCAATTGACAGTTATTCTTTTGTTCCAGTCGACAGTTATTCTTGTTCCAGTCGACAGTTATTCTTGTTCCAGTTGACAGTTATTCTTTTGTTCCAATCGACAGTTATTCTTTTGTTCCAGTCGACAGTTATTCTTTTGTTCCAGTCGACAGTTATTCTTTTGTTCCAGTTGACAGTTATTCTTTTGTTCCAGTGGACAGTTATTCTTGTTCCAGTCGACAGTTATTCTATCATGTGTCTATGTCATGGGGTGTTTTTATCTGTTGAGAGGCGACATCGGGTGAGGGATCGGATGAGCGCTCTATTATTAGATATATATACTATCATCCGTTGATTGCATTTGTTGGTGTTCACCCGCGGGATATTCCCACTCCACACACCTGTGTCCCAGGCAAGGGAGTCCCCGAGCACTGTGAGCTGCTTGCCTCCACCCACCTCCACGCTGGGGCGGCCAACATTCTCTGATCCTACTGTTGGTGCAGAGTAGGGCGGTAGCACATTCGTCGAGTACCAAGGTGGATATTCAAATGTATATTCGTATGGGGGTTGAGGAGAGAATGATGAGTTGATGGAGGTGTTGATGGTGATATTGGAAGTGTTGTTGGATGTATTGATGGTGCTGATGTTGATGCTGGTCGATATATTGATGATGTTGACGAAGGTGGTCGATACATTGATGTATCACGGGTTGAAGACCCTTCGGGTGTTAACCCCTAGGGTGCAGAGCCCAACGGGTACAGAGCCCTCAGGTACAGACCCCACAGGTACAGACTCCTCAGGTACAGACCCCTCGGGTACAGACCCCTCGGGTACAGACCCCTCGGGTACAGACCCCTCGGGTACAGACCCCTCGGGTACAGACCCCACGGGTACAGACCCCTCGGGTGCAGACCCCTCGGGTGCAGACCCCACGGGTACAGACCCCACGGGTACAGACCCCTTGGGTACTGACCCCTCGGGTGCAGACCCCTCGGGTGCAGACCCCTCGGGTACAGACCCCACGGGTACAGACCCCTCGGGTACAGACCCCACGGGTACAGACCCCTCGGGTACAGACCCCTCGGGTACAGACCCCACGGGTACAGACCCCTCGGGTACAGACCCCACGGGTACAGACCCCTTGGGTACTGACCCCACGGGTACAGACCCCTCGGGTACAGACCCCTCGGGTACAGACCCCACGTGTACAGACCCCACGGGTACAGACCCCTCGGGTACAGACCCCTCGGGTACAGACCCCACGGGTACAGACCCCTCGGGTACAGACCCCACGGGTACAGACCCCTTGGGTACTGACCCCACGGGTACAGACCCCTCGGGTACAGACCCCTCGGGTACAGACCCCACGTGTACAGACCCCACGGGTACAGACCCCTCGGGTACAGACCCCACGGGTACAGACCCCTCGGGTACAGACCCCACGGGTACAGACCCCTCGGGTACAGACCCCTCGGGTGCAGACCCCACGGGTACAGACCCCTCGGGTACAGACCCCTCGGGTACAGACCCCTCGGGTACAGACCCCTCGGGTGCAGACCCCACGGGTACAGACCCCTCGGGTACAGACCCCTCGGGTACAGACCCCACGGGTACAGACCCCTCGGGTACAGACCCCACGTGTACAGACCCCACGGGTACAGACCCCTCGGGTACAGACCCCACGGGTACAGACCCCTCGGGTACAGACCCCACGGGTACAGACCCCACGGGTACAGACCCCTCGGGTACAGACCCCTCGGGTACAGACCCCACGTATACAGACCCCTCGGGTACAGACCCCTCGGGTACAGACCCCACGTGTACAGACCCCTCGGGTACAGACCCCACGGGTACAGACCCCACGGGTACAGACCCCTCGGGTACAGACCCCTCGGGTACAGACCCCACGTATACAGACCCCTCGGGTGCAGACCCCACGGGTACAGACCCCTCGGGTACAGACCCCTCGGGTACAGACCCCACGGGTACAGACCCCTCGGGTACAGACCCCTCGGGTGCAGACCCCACGGGTACAGACCCCTCGGGTACAGACCCCTCGGGTGCAGACCCCACGGGTACAGACCCCTCGGGTACAGACCCCTCGGGTACAGACCCCTCGGGTACAGACCCCACGGGTACAGACCTCACGGGTACAGACCCCTCGGGTACAGAACCGTTAAAAATGGCCACGCATTAATTCAAATTAAAGCACCGTAATCTGAACGTTTTCTATGCTTCTGCCTCGATGGGTTAGGCGGGCTGCTTGGGTGCGTCGGTTTCTGTTAGGCAAAACGGCTGCTTTTATGACGGAGTGGCAGTCAAGAGGTCCAACTGGTGATACGGATGGTAATTACCGCAGATAACAAGTGTTGTTATCTTCAGGTGATTGGTTGAGTGATGATTGGTTGAGTGATGATTGGTTGAGTGGTGATTGGTTGAGTGATGATTGGTTGAGTGATGATTGGTTGGGTGATGATTTGTTGAGGGATGATTGGTTGAGTGATTGGTTGAGTGGTGATTGGTTGAGTGATGATTGCTTGAGTGGTGATTGCTTGAGTGGTGATTGGTTGAGTGGTGATTGGTTGAGTGATGATTGGTTGAGTGATGATTGGTTGAGTGGTGATTGGTTGAGTGGTGATTTGTTGAGGGATGATAGGTTGAGGGATGATTGGTTGAGTGGTGATTGGTTGAGTGGTGATTGGTTGAGGGATGATAGGTTGAGGGATGATTGGTTGAGTGGTGATTGGTTGAGTGGTGATTGCTTGAGTGATGATTGCTTGAGTGGTGATTGGTTGAGTGTTGAGTGGTGATTGGTTGAGTGGTGATTGGTTGAGTGATGATTGGTTGAGGGATGATTGGTTGAGTGGTGATTGGTTGAGTGATGACTGGTTGCGTGATGATTGGTTTAGTTTTGATTGGTTGAGTGATGATTGGTTGGGTGATTGGTTGAGTGGTGATTGGTTGAGTGATGATTGGTTGAGTGGTGATTGGTTGAGTGATGATTGGTTGAGTGGTGATTGGTTGAGTGACTTTGTTATGTCCATTCACCCACTTGTAAACTTCTATCATGTCGCCCCTAACTCTTCGCCTTTCCAGTAAATGCAACTTAAGCTTTGTTAATCTTTCTTCATATGAAAGATTTCTAATTTGGGGAATTAACTTAGTCATCCTACGCTGGACACGTTCAAGTGAACTTATATCCATTCTATAATATGGCGACCAAAACTGAACTGCATAATCTAAATGGGGCCTAACTAGAGCAAGATATAGCTTGAGAACCACACCAGGTGTCTTGTTACTAACGCTGCGATTAATAAATCCAAGTGTCCGATTTGCCTTATTACGAACATTTATGCATTGATCCTTTTGTTTTAAATTCTTACTAATCATAACTCCCAGATCCCTTTCGCAATCCGACTTCGCAATCTCAACACCATATAGCTCGCATCTTGTAACCCTATCATCATTACCTAACCTCAGAACTTTACATTTATCAGCATTAAACTGCATCTGCCAATCCTTTGACCATTTCAAAACCCTATCTAGATCAACTTGAAGTGATAGTGAGTCCTCCTCCGAATTAATTTCCCTACCGATTTTCGTATCATCGGCAAATTTGCAAATGTTGCTACTCAAACCTGAATCTAAATCATTTATATATATTATAAACAACAGAGGTCCCAGGACAGAGCCTTGAGGCACTCCACTTACAACATTTTCCCACTCTGACTTGACTCCATTTATACTAACTCTCTGTTTCCTTTGGTATAGCCATGCCATAATCCAGCTTAATATAGCACCCCCAATACCATGAGACTCTATCTTTTTAATCAGTCTTTCATGTGGCACTGTATCAAAAGCTTTGCTAAAGTCAAGGTACACAACAGCACAATCCTTACCACTATCAACTGCCTCAACAATGCTAGAATAAAAAGATAACAAATTTGTTAAACATGAACGGCCATTTATAAAACCATGTTGCGACTCAATTATTAATTTATGTTTTTCAAGATGAAGACGAATTTTATTTGCTATTATAGATTCGAGTAACTTTCCCACAATAGACGTTAGGCTAATTGGTCGATAGTTAGACGCAAGTGATCTATCTCCTTTCTTAAAAACTGGTATCACATTAGCAACTTTCCAAAACTCTGGCACTCTGCCTGACTCTATTGATTTATTAAATATGGTTGACAGTGGGTCACAAAGCTCCTCTTTGCATTCTTTAAGCACCCTAGCAAACACTTCATCCGGCCCTGGGGATTTGTTTGGTTTGAGTTTTACTATTTGTTTAAGAACATCCTCCCTGGTAACTGCTAAACTCGTCAACCTGTCCTCGTCCCCACCCACATAGACTTGTTCGGCTGAAGGCATATTGTTAAGTTCCTCTTTAGTAAATACAGATACAAAATATTTATTAAAAATACTACTCATCTCTTCATCACTATCTGTTATTTGACCTGTCTCAGTTTTTAATGGACCTATCCTTTCCCTAGTCTTAGTACGATATAACTGAAAAAAACCTTTAGGATTTGTCTTTGCTTGCCCTGCTATGCGAACTTCATAGTTTCTTTTTGCTTTCCTTATCACTTTTTTAACATTTCTAACCAGTTGTACGAATTCCTGTTCTAAAGTGACCTCCCCATTTTTAATCCTTTTGTACCAAGCTCTCTTTTTACCTATAAGGTTCTTCAAATTCTTTGATATCCACTTTGGGTCATTAGTATTCGATCTATTCAATTTGTATGGTATACTACGTTCCTGTGCTTTGTTTAGAATATTCTTAAATAAGTTATATATTGAATCCACATCGAAATCCCCATTTAAGTCACCTATCGCTGGGTTCATGTCTCGCTCCAAGACCGGCCCACACCCCATACCCAAGACTTTCCAATCAATTTGACCCAAAAAATTTCTTAGGCTAGTAAAATCAGCTTTTCGAAAATCTGGCACTTTAACAGAATTTTCTCCTACAGGTCTATTCCATTCTATGCTAAATCTGATTTCTTTGTGATCACTGTTCCCTAGTTCACTCCCTATTTCGATGTAAATGATGTATACATTATGCTTATTGTTTATACATTGTGGCTTTTGTTTATACATTGTGGCTTTTGTTTATACATTGTGGCTTTTGTTTATACATTGTGGCTTTTGTTTATACATTGTGGCTTTTGTTTATACATTGTGGCTTTTGTTTATACATTGTGGCTTTTGTTTATACATTGGGGCTTTTGTTTATACATTGTGGCTTTTGTTTATACATTGTGGCTTTTGTTCATTGTGGCTTGTGTTCTTTGTGGCTCTTATACATTGTGGCTTTTGTTTATACATTGTGGCTTTTGTTTATACATTGTGGCTTTTGTTTATACATTGTGGCTTTTGTTTATACATTGTGGCTTTTGTTTATACATTGTTTATACATTGTGGCTTTTGTTTATACATTGTGGCTTTTGTTTATACATTGTGGCTTTTGTTTATACATTGTGGCTTTTGTTTATACATTGTTTATACATTGTGGCTTTTGTTTATACATTGTGGCTTTTGTTTATACATTGTGGCTTTTGTTTATACATTGTGGCTTTTGTTTATACATTGTGGCTTTTGTTTATACATTGTGGCTTTTGTTTATACATTGTGGCTTTTGTTTATACATTGTGGCTTTTGTTTATACATTGTTTATACATTGTGGCTTTTGTTTATACATTGTGGCTTTTGTTTATACATTGTGGCTCTTGTTCATTGTGGCTCTTGTTTATACATTGTGGCTTTTGTTTATACATTGTGGCTTTTGTTTATATTGTGGCTTTTGTTCATTGTGGCTCTTGTTCATACTCTTGTTTATACATTGCTCTTGTTTTGTGTCTTGTTCATTGTGGCTCTTGTTTTGTACATTGTGGCTCTTGTTCATTGTGGCTCTTGTTCATTGTGGCTCTTGTTCTTGTGGCTCTTGTTCATTGTGGCTCTTGTTCATTGTGGCTCTTGTTCATTGTGGCTCTTGTTCATTGTGGCTCTTGTTCATATGTGGCTCTTGTTCATTGTGGCTCTTGTTCATTGTGGCTCTTGTTTATACATTGTGGCTCTTGTTCATACTCTTGTGGCTTGTTCATTGTTTATACATTGTGGCTCTTGTTCATTGTTTGTTCATTGTGGCTCTTTGTTTGTTCATTGTGGCTCTTGTTCATTGTGGCTCTTGTTCATTGTGGCATTGTGGCTTGTTCTTGTTTATACATTGTGGCTCTTGTTTATACATTGTGGCTCTTGTTCATTGTGGCTTTTGTTCATTGTGGCTCTTGTTCATTGTGGCTCTTGTTCATTGTGGCATTGTGGCTCTTGTTCATTGTGGCTCTTGTTCATTGTTCATTGTGGCTCTTGTTCATTGTGGCTCTTGTTCATTGTGGCTCTTGTTCATTGTGGCTCTTGTTCATTGTGGCACTTGTTCATTGTGGCTCTTGTTCATTGTGGCTCTTGTTCATTGTGGCTCTTGTTCATTGTGGCTCTTGTTCATTGTGGCTCTTGTTCATTGTGGCTTTTGTTCATTGTGGCTTTTGTTCATTGTGGCTCTTGTTCATTGTGGCTCTTGTTTATACATTGTGGCTCTTGTTCATACTCTTGTGGCTCTTGTTCATACATTGTGGCTTTTGTTCATACATTGTGGCTCTTGTTCATACTCTTGTTCATTGTGGCTTTGTTCATTGTGGCTCTTGTTCATTGTTCTTGTTCATTGTGGCTTTTGTTTATACATTGTGGCTCTTGTTTATACATTGTGGCTCTTGTTCATTGTGGCTCTTGTTCATTGTGGCTCTTGTTTATACATTGTGGCTCTTGTTTATACATTGTGGCTTTTGTTCTATCTTGTTCATTGTGGCTCTTGTTTATACATTGTGGCTCTTGTTCATACATGGGCTCTTGTTCATTGTGACTCTTGTTCATTGTGGCTCTTGTTCATTGTGGCTCTTGTTCATTGAGACACTTGTTCCTTGTGGCACTTAATTTGTTCATTGTGGCTCTTGTTCATTGTGGCTCTTGTTTATTGTGGCTCTTGTTCATTGTGGCTCTTGTTCATTGTGGCTTTTGTTCATTGTGGCTCTTGTTCATTGTGGCTCTTGTTCATTGTGGCTCTTGTTCATTGTGGCTCTTGTTCATTGTGGCTTTTGTTCATTGTGGCTCTTGTTCATTGTGGCTCTTGTTCATTGTGGC